GTAGGTTTTCCTGGTCTAACTTAGAATAGAAGCTCTTTAGAAAACCTGCCCTTGGGGTATCAAAGCAGGTATCCCAAGCTACTGGGCCCGCTGGGGAGCACACGCTTGGTCTCTTAGCAGAGTTCAGGCAGCCTCCGCTGGGCGCTGAAGTCCTGCATTCTGACTCAGTCTGCACTTGGGAATCAGCTGGACCCTCAGACCTGTGCTGGGCAGCAGCCACTGTGTACTTAAAGGAAGCGGCTATGTCATAGATGAACGCTGGGAAGAGAGCATCAAAGCACAATCATGGCACGGCCAGCCAATCACAGGCTAAGGGGCTGCACGGGTTGCTGCAGGCGGCAGAGGCCCCAGAGCTGTCAGGTTTCTGGGCAGCAGAGGAAACTGGCAGCCCCCCCCCCCAGGAGCAGGACCATAGACCTCGTTGAGAACCCGCTTCAGCCTTAGTACTACCCGTCCTCACTGGCCAGCCCAGCAAGATGGTGCCTCTCCTTCCCAACCTCGTTTATTTGTGAACAGAGCCTCACTGAAGGGAGGGGAAGGTGGGGGGAGACGCTGCCCTATTGGTACTGATTTCACAGGAAGAAATTCACAGCTGCTCAAAGTCAGTCCCCAAATTAACAACGCCCTTGAGAACCTGAAGTGGGGATGAGAATGACCCACCTCAGGGGACACCAACCCGCAGTCCCTGTTTCTGGCCCAGGGCAGACTGACTGCTTCAGGCTCGTCCTAAATTCCTTAATTCCTTAATTCCAGCCAGGCTGCAGCCCACTAACCTGAGGCCAACCCTTAGGATTGGTGGGGTTCTTGGTAGGGTTGCTTTGCCTAACTACGGGCTTGAGGAGCTACAAGGTGGGGAGGGAGTCACTTCGGGAAAGCACTCAGTAATGTGTGCCCCCAACGAGGGCCACCTCCTAACCCAGAACCTGTGAGTGCTTTAACCTCGGAAGCAAACGGGACTGTGCAGGTGGATGAAGTTCAGGATCGTCAGATAGGAGTTGACCATAATTCTCTGGGTGATCCACAGGGTCCTCAGAAGAGGACGAGGGCCAGAGTCCGAGAAGGGGACGTGACCGTGCTGGGAGGCAGAGGCAGAGGCAGAGCCTCGCCATGTGACTGCAGCCACGGCAACACAGGAGGCCACAGCTAAGCAGCGTAGGGGCCTCCAGAAGGCAGTTCTGTCGACACCTTGATTAGAGCTGCGTGAGACCAATTTTGGACCTCTGACCGCCAGAACTCTGAGATAATAAATCTGTGTTGTTCTGGACCACACCTGTGTGGCCATGTGTGACAGCAACCACAGGAAGTGACCACACAATGCAGCACATTTCACCATGTGAGCGGCCCAGGGCAGCCTGGAACTAATTTCCCTCAGCTAGCTGCAGACAGGCCAGCCCTGAAGGAGGATCATGGGAGGGCTGCTTCCGGGCAATGCTTTCTGCAAGCGAAAACGTCTCCTAATGATAACAGGATGGCTAGGCAGGGTTTTGTTTTATGACATTTTAAGACATCCGGATGGGTCCCAAGATTTGTATGAGCCTATGAGTCATTAGATTAAATCAGCATATAATTCCCTCCTCTCTTTTCATAAGAATTACTGTACCCCTTGCTATGAAGAAGCGTGGAATTTTTAAGTCTTCCATTTTTATGGGCTCAACTCCACTATTCTTCAACAGAAAAAAATGGAATGACATTAATTTTGGGCTTGAGATAAACTGCTCTATAACTTTTTAAATTAAGATATAACAGGTCCTTACGTGATCAGATTTCTAATCTAGTTTAAACAACGAAATCTATGAATATGTAAACGTAACAGTCAGTAACAGCTTTCCCTATGGAACTTCCAAGTGTTGGGAGTGGCTTATGGAAAACTTGCTCTGGTTTTCTAAGATAAAGTTGGAAGAAAATCCTGAGAAATGCACATTAAACCCATAGTAAGATATCACCTCAGACCTGTCAGAATGGCTATCATCAATAAATCAACAAACAAGTGTTGGAGAAGATGTAGAGAAAGGGAACCCTCGTGCACTGTTGGTGGGATTGTAAATTGGTACAGACACTATAGAAAACAGTATGGAAGTTGTAATATAGAAAGTCACACATGAAACCAATATGTTCATGTTGACCAATGTAACTTCAATCAATTTAACAAATACAATTTAAAAAAAGAAAACAGTATGGAGATTCCTCAAAAAATTAGAAATAGAACGACCATATGACCTAGCAATCCCACATCCGGGTATTTATCTGAAGAAATCCAAAAGACTAATTCAAGAAGATACATGCACCCCTATGTTCATTGCAGCATTGTTTACAATAGCTAAGATATGGAAGTGACCTAACTGTCCATGGCACCTCGAATTCCCAAGCTCATTTATGTGTAAACAGAGCTGCTGAAGGGAGGGGAACGGCTAAAGAAAATGTACATATATACAATTCTACTATTGAGATATAAATAAGAATGAAATCTTGCCATTTGTGACAACATGGATAGACCTATAGGTTATTACACTAAGTGAAATAAGTCAGACAAAGACAAACGCCATATAATTTCACTTATACATGTAATTAAAATAAATGACACACAAAACAGAAACAAACTCACTGACACGGAGAACGGACTGACGCTTGCCATGAGAAGGGGGTAGGGGGATGAGGTTAAGATGTACAAATTGGCAAATGTTACAGAATAGTCATAGGGATGCAAGGTGCGGCGTAGGGATATAGTTAATAATGTTGCAATGACCATGTATGGCGCCAGGTGAGTACTAGACTTACCAGGGCGATCACTTAGTAAGTTATAAGTTAAATGTCTAACCACGATGATATACACCTGAAAGTAATATAATATTGAGTATCAACTGTAAGTGGAAAGAATTTTAATTGCAAAAAAATAAAAAGGAAGAAAACCCTAGCAAGCCACTTCTTCAAGAGAGAAACTAGGAAATTGGTCGCATGTGGAATCTGCCACAGGGCTTGGTCAGAACAAGACGGCTCATGGTTCTCACACATCCTCGAGTATCAGCCCCACCCAGATGTCTGGGTCTCAGCTCAGAGCTCGTGTTTCTGTAGGTCTGGGTGGAGCCTGATAATCTGTATTTCTAACAAGCTCCCAGGCGATGCTGACCCTACTCTGAGAACCACGGTAGTGGAGGAACCCCTCTTTACACAGGGCCCAGTTTCTCACAGGTCCTGAGAAGGGTCGTGACCTTACCTCGTCTGAGTGAACTATCCTGACAAGCTAGTGGATACACTGTGATTGCTGAAGCATCTCCATCGCCTACTTCACTCCCAGGCCTGGCTGCATGTTGGAATTACAGAGAGAGCTTTTAAACCCCTCAGGACCCAGGCCTCCCTCCAGATGAATTAAATCAGAATGGGGCTGGGGGATGAGCAAATCTCAGTACTTAAAAAAAATCTTTTTTTAAAATTGATATTTAGAGAGAAGAAAGGAGAGAGAGAAACATTGATGTGAGAGAGAAACATTGATTGGCAACCTTCCCAAACATCCCAACCAGGAATCGAACCCACCCCGTCACCCCATGCTCCAACCAACTGAGCCACCCAGTCAGGGCAAGTCTCAGTAGTTTTTAAAACTCCCCAAGTGATCCAAAGTGCAGCCAAGATGGGGAACTGCCCCTTTAAGCAAACATGAGGGGTGGCAACGGACCAGAACAGACATTCAGCAGGGCCTCACACTAAGCCCGGGCCTGGCCTCTCAAGTGCTGGGCTCTTGCCTCCTGCACCGGGACACCTGATCGGTGCTCAATAAACTCTCACTGAGTGAATGACAACTAACCGAACAGCAAACCTGAAGAGGACTAGCACCTCCCTTCTCCAGGGCACCTGGGGGAGAAACAAATTATGTCCTTACAAATTGTGAAGCCTCATGAGGGCAGTGGCCCTACAATAAAAGAAGCTCTTTTGAGAAGGCTCTGCTTGGGAAGTACCACCACATTCCTAAGTCCAAATACATATCATAACTACCATGGGCAAGAACTGGGAAACATTTCCATCGTCCAGAATAGGGGTAGACAAACTATGACCCACAGGCCAAATCCAGCTGCCACCTATTCTTATAAATAAAGTTTTATTGGCACACAGACACACCCAGTTGTGTCCACACTGTGGCTGCTTTCACACTACAGGGCAGAGTTGAGTATTTTCAGCTGAAAGGGTGTGGTCTGCAAAGCCGGACATATTTACTCTCTGGTCCTTTAGAGAACAAGTTTGCCAACCCCGTCCCTAGAGATATGAGGATGTATACAAACAAAACATAATTGATAGTCTTTAGGTGGTGAAGTTATGGATGACTTTTTCTTTTTTCTTCTTCTTCTACTAGCCAGCTTTGGAGTTGTGTGTTTATAAGAGCATGTGAGATAGGGTATGTGGTGAAACGGCATAACCAATAAGGCTTCCAGGGATTATCAAGCAGACAGTAAGCCTAACCCCCAAAGGGTTTATGGCTCAAAACCAGCAGAAGACCAGCTCGATCCAGCATGGAGACTAATTTCACCTTGAGGTGACCCCGAGCCTCATATACACTCATTATAATGTGTTAGCGTCCTAAACGACACACCCTGGGCACCATGATCAGAAGGGAAAGCCCAGGTGAGGACCCAAAATGGCTGATGGGCTCTTCTGAGAAATCTCCACCCCTTTTCCAGAAAAATCCTGAATATCCCTCCCCTTTACTGAATGCCCTACCCCTCCATTCAATGAGCCCCAATAAAAGAAGTAAATCACACTAGGGGGGCTGCTCCGCCTGTGGAGAAGCCACTTTGTGTCACTGCTTCACTAACACCCCCTTTCCCTCTCTGCTGGCTCCCATTTGAAGTCCTCCCTGCATGAAGCCAAGAGCCCACAGTGGGTCGCACACCTTCGGGTCCCCGGGCCCCAGAACCCCTGCATCACGTATGTTTAAATCATAAACAGAAGGAAAAGAAAGTCTGCCTCAATGTGGGCACCGGTGCCGAGCTGCCTGGCTCCCCACAGGACGGTACCTTGTTTCCAATGGCCTTTTTGGGTGGGAAGTTGTAGGCTCTCACTTGTGGATATTTGTTCTGTAACTTGTGGTGCAGACTCCTGAACTCCGTGTACCGCCGATAGACATTCCACTCATCATCTTTTATCCGGATGTAGACCTGGCAAGAGAAGGAAAGAAGAACACTGAGACCTTCCTTAAAAGTTCATTGCAATGGGTGGGCGTTGGGCAGCGCTCACCCACATCTGTGCAGGGGCCACATCTGCCTCCCGGGCCATGCTGCCCAGTGCTGGCACAGAGCAGGGACTCAGTACTACTGAGTGAACACGTGGGGATATGAAAGATGAATCAGGCAGGTTATGGTAACAACACACTGTATATCATTTCCCCAGTTAATCTCAATGATGCGTTACTCGTATTTCTGTCACATGCGTACTGCAGCAGTGACAAGTTTCTGGGAGAGTCTATCCCTCCTCTCTGGCTATGCGTGTCCTCGTCTGTACACGGAGCTAACAGCACCTCCTCCCAAGGTTGCATGGATGGCATTCAGGTACAGAAGCTTAACAGCTGTGCCTGGGAGCATGTAGACCACCAATCTATCTGGGGAAGGAGGGAGGGGCAGAGATGAGCCCGGCTGGATGGAAGGTCATGTTCAGATGGGTAAGCCCAACAGGGACACAAAACATCATTATTTTAATCAAGCTGTAACTCCCAAGAGAGGCAGTCTTATCAGCTTTTCACAGGCCTAACACCCTCCAGGGACACACAGCAATTACCCTGTGAGGGCAAACAGAAGTGGGAGAGGGATCAGTGCATTTAAAAAAATTGTATGAGTTAAGGAGAGCCCGGAGAGTAAAGTCTGGAGGATATATGGCTAATGTAATTTGCATTCAGCAAAATGTCAATATACATCCTAAGACAAGACCTCTTTAACCATAACAATAGGCATCTCAACGGGGTGATAAATTCTGCCTCCACATGAAAACCACCAGCATCCCCGATGCTGACATCATGTCCTTGCAGTTTGGTTAGGCGACTATCAGAGTCTCTCACAATATTTGAACAAGACAGAGAAAGGAGGACTTAAACCAAAGAATTGCAAATAATGAATAGAAGTTTCCAGGGGAATTAGATGGAGAAACAGAGGCCTATCAAGTTTATTAGAAGCCTCCAAGCTAAGAGAGACAGTAAATACACTGGATGACAGATATCAAGTGACCTCATCTGGCCTGAAGGATGAGTCTAATCCAACGTGATGAAATCCACAAAGTTCAATGTCAGGACCTGCCATAAAATCCAAAAAACTAACATTGTAAGTATAAGGTAGGGGAGAGAGAGCACGCAGCAGTAGCCTGAGGGACAAAGACTTACAGGTCTCAGTAAATTCAAACTAAGTGAATAATGTGGGAGAGCCATTAAAAATGACAAAGCTGGTTGGGCTCAGTGGATAGAGTGTCGGCCTGTGGACTGAAGTCCTGGGTTCGATTCTGGTCAAAGGGCACATGCCCAGGTTGTGGGCTCGATCCCCAGTAGGGGACATGCAGGAGGCAGCTGATCAGTGATTCTCTCTCATCATTGATGTTTCTATCTCTCTCTCCCCCTCCCTTCCTCTCTGAAATCAATAAAAATATATTATATATATTTTAAAAAGCCCATGTAGCCCTGGTAGGGATTGTCCAGTGGTTAGAGCATTGGCCCACGGACAGAAGGGTCATGGGTTCGATTCCTGGTCAAGGGTTCATACCTGGGTTGCAGGTCCAATCCCTGGCCCTGGTCAGGGCTCATGCTGGAGGCAACCAGTCGATGTGTCTCTCTCATATAGATGTTTTTCTCTTTCCCCCACCCTCCCTCCTTTCCACTCTCTAAAGATCAATGGAAAAAATATCTTCAGGTAAGGATTAAAACAAACAAACAAAACACCATGCAATCTTCAGACCTCATTAACTCACTTGTATTGCTTTGCAACACAAGTTGCATAAAAAGTGTTTTACATTTTTTCCCATACACGCGCAATTAGTGCCGCAGTTTTGGCATATGTCCGAAAAAATACGTCAGCAGCCAAACGGTTGAAAGGTAAATGGCAATGTCTAGAATAAAGGAGTTAAAAGTCTTGCTCTATCCTAAATCTAGCAGAACAACTTGGTCAGGTTTTGGATGCCACCTGCTAAGAGATGACCTGAAATACATCCAGGAGGCCCAGGACCACCTGCTACTCAAAGTGTGGTCTGTGGACCAGCAGCAGCAGCATCACATAGGAAGATGTCAGAAACCCAGCCTCGCAGGCTCCACCGAGCACTGACTATAAGAACCCCAAGTGGTGCACGCACACTTCAAAGCTTGAGGAGCACTAGGCTTTATGAGATGATTTACAACCAAGTTATCAGAAGAAAAAGAAACGACATTGGAGGATGATGACCTGAGCCACAGGATAGAGGGGCTCGAGATCTCCAAACACCTAGAATGAAGCAGAGGACAGACCAAGATGCCTGTCCCAGTGAGTCCGGGAAGCAGACTTCCAGCAGGTAGAAAGTAGAGAAAGACATTTCAGTAGAGACGAACTTCCTAGCAGTAAAAGCTGCCCAAAGAGGAAAAGGTATGTCGCAAACGGTTTGTTGGCGCTGGGTGTCCAAACAGTGCTCTGATGACTGATAGGACTGTGATCATAATTATGCAAGTATTTGATTTATAATAGTAACGTAGACATTAGATCCCCAAAAGCATCTGGAAGGGCCTGGCTGGGTATGGAGAGCTGGGCCTGCAGGCTCACCATCTCCATAGACTGAGTCAGTGAACAAATGAGCCTGGCAGAGCTCAGGGGATTTGGCGTATTTGGGGCATTCTTTGAATCCCTCTGAGTGATAGCAAGTGCTAGTTGCCCACCCAGCATCCATTTCCCCCTAATATTTCTTGGCATAGCAATGTATTCAGAAAGAAACCAAAACCTACATTTTCCATCTCCTTCACAGGTAAGAGTGGCTAATGAGATGTAAATAAAAGGTATTGTTTGGGGATTCTAAGTTTGTAAGGAGATCTGACTCAGCCAACAAGTGCCTTATTTTTTGTTTATTTGTTTGTTTGTTTGACTCTTCTTTCTGTCTTTTGCCTTCTTTCTCAAACACAGAGGTGATGACTGGAGCTCCAGAGGCCATTTGATGATCGTGAGGAAGTCATGAGAAGGGAAGGCAAAAGACAGAAGGACCTTGGGCCTCTGATGACATTTTGGATTCACTACACCAATTATTAGACTATCGACTCAAAAAATGTTTTAACAAAACAGAAATATTTATCTTCTAGTTTGTTAAGGGCCTTTGCACTAGTGGCTGGATACAATTCTAGTCTGATGTATCTTGAATGACTCTATCTGCTAGTATATTCTTATACAAGTCCAAAAACTGTCCCACCCCCACAGAGGGGCAAGTTCAATCACTTGTCTGATCATCACACACAAGACTAATTATCTAGACCAGGAGAGGCAACCTATAACCTAGGGGCCAAATCCCGCCCCACCCATTTGTTTACCAATTGTTTATAGCTGCTTCTGCAATATAATGACAGAACCAAGTGGTAACAACAAAGACCATATCTCCTAGAAAGCTGAAAATATTTACTTTTTGGCTCTTTATAAAAAAACAAAACAAAAAACTTTGCTGACCGCTGACCTTGGTATTAGGGAAGTCCTTATTATTGTTATTTTTTCACCAACATATCCAAGATCGAGTGTGGAGAAGGGCAGTGTTTTCAAATAGTCCCAGCCCCTATATTAACCATCTGCGACCCAGGAATCTAGCGTCCCAAAGCTTCCCTGGTGATTCGAAGGAGTAGGTGTTGCGGTCTGAATGTTCGTGCCCATCACTAAAGAATTGAAAGAATTTATGCACCAAATTGTTAGCGTTCTCTCCCTCTCTCACTCCCTCTCTCCCTTCCTTCCTATCCCCCCACCTCCCCCTCTCTCTCTCTCTCTCTCTCTCTCTCTCTCTCTCTCTCATCGAAATTAAATTTGATGGGCCCAATTCCTTCTACTTGAACCACGGGGATAATAATTCCTTGGAGCAATAAAAAGAGTTGACCTCCTTTGGCAAAACGAAGTTCTCTTTTAAAACAAGCAATAAAAAGCCACTTCAAGTCAATCTTCCTGACTCGGCAAAAGAAAAAGAAAATAGGAGGTAACACCTCTAATCAGGAATCGGGGCAAACCCTCCCTTTTCTGCTTTAAGAGGGAGTTCGAACCTTGAGGTTTCTTTTCCACTGGGAAGAACTGCCCCAGCAATGCCTGTAAAGCACTCAGGTACGGAGAGGTTAGCAGGGAGAAACACCAAGACCTTAGTCCAGTGGTTCCCAACCTTCTGGCCCTTTAAATACAGTTCCTCATGTTGTGACCCAACCATAAAATTATTTTCGTTGCTACCTCGTAACTGTAATGTTGCTGTTATGAATCATAATGTAAATATCTGATATGCAGGATGGTCTTAGGCGACCCCTGTGAAAGGGTCGTTCAACTGCAAAGGGGTCGCAACCCACAGGTTGAGAACCACTGCCTTAGTCCATCGATGAGTCGAATCCAGAACAAACTCTGTGTAGACAGGGCCTCTGGGAAATGCTTCTTAAAAGGTTAAGAACATCCGCCAGAGCATTCCCGTCAGCCCTCGTGCTCCTCGCCTGCTCTGCTGAGTGCGCTATCCCTGGTTTCTTTCATCTGTTTTTGAACTAAATCTAAAAGGACTCAGAGTGTGCTCCTTTGTGTCTGGTTTCTTTTGCTTTATACTGTGCTTGTGAGGTGTCTTCATTTGTTGTGCAGAGCATTCAGCTGTCCTTGTTCACTGCTGCATAGTATTCCACTTACAAATAAGCCACAGTTGATTTAGTCAATCTGCTGGGATAGGAAGTCAGGCTGTTTCCAGTTGGGACTATTATGGGTAAGGCAGCTATGAGTATTCATGAGCACGGCTTTTGTGCTCATTTCTTTGGGGATCATAGATTGAAATATGAAAGTAAAAATCACAAAGCTACTAGAAGAAAACACATCTTAATGACCTTGGGGTGGGCAAGGATTCTTACACAGAATATAAAAGGGCACCAAGAGCCTTCTGGGCAGGAGTTACACAGGTATATACAAAAGTAAAAATTAACCGAACCAACAACTTAAGAGTTATGCATTTGATA